TCTAGTCTTTGACTAAAATAATCTTGCTAGGTAAAGAATGGTTCTTGTAAAATTGATGTGGCAATAATGAGAGAGAGGAATGCAAGTAGGGGAAGCATAATCACATGGACATTGCCTTTCTCTCATTGCCTGCAGGCTGGAATGGTGGCTATCAGCAAACTAAGTTAAAGTGAAGAAAAATAAGTCGAAATCTCGTTATTCTGCTCAGTATTGCGTATCTAACGCTCACTCCGAAGTTAAAAAAAGAAAAAACCAGTCACCGGGGAATGATTGGCTGTTAATTTTTGTGAGTACAAAACAACCTTAAAATCTTCAGCTTGTGGTCATATTTTATTCTGTCTTTCGAGTACTACATACATCTTTCTCCTCTCACTAAAGGGTGTCATATGATAGTATGATACTGACTATGTTAATATATGATATTTCATTGCTTTAACAAGAATTCTTATGTAATTTTCTTGAAAATCTTCATTTTTTTCTTCTTCATCTTAAAGTTTCCTCAAGTTCTGGTTGTGGGATTACTTTACCTTTTTTCTTTTTCTTTTTACCAATCTTGGAGAAAATAAATACAGGAATTTGTTAGTGGTTCCGACAAAATCTATTGCTGGCAGCTGGAGGTGGAGCTTTCTGAGGTAGTGGTGTCTTAAAAAGTGAAGGTTTCAACAGTTTAACGAAGTTGGTTTTTTGTCTCACTCTCCTGTGGTGTTGTTGTTCCTTCTTGTAAATACTTGGGCTTAGAAGCATAAACAAGACTCAGAAATGAAGTTTATGAAACTTGGAACTCGCCCTGATACTTTCTATACTACTGAGGCTGTGAGGTACTTTCATTTCTTAATTCTTTCTTGATTTTTAAAATTTAAAATGTCATTTGTTGATTAAAAAGTTTCTTTTTTCTTTTTTTCTTCATTCTGGGAATTTTGATGTTCATAATTTGTGTGGGGAATATTTATGGAAAAAAAATTCAGATTTTCTGTTCTTGATGCAGGTCTGTGTCATCTGAGGTTTCTAGCGACCTTATAATTCAAGTGAAAGGAAGCAGATATTTACTTCACAAGGTGAGTCTTCTCAAATTTTTTGTACCAAGTGAAAATTTCTGGGGAAAAAAAAAAGTGATTTAATTCATGTAAATGATGATTCTGGAGCGTAATATATTTGTTAAGGAAGGGAAATAAGCTAAAATTTTCTTTATTACATCATACCGTCATGTCTAGGTGTATCAAACGCGGACTGATAGTTTGAGTTAATTTACAATACAGTTTCCACTGCTGTCCAAGTGCCTTTGCCTGCAGAGACTATGTTCAGGAAGCCCTGAATCCTCACAACACCAAATAGTCCAACTACCAGATTTTCCTGGTGGGTTGGAAGCATTTGAGCTCTGTGCAAAATTCTGCTATGGAATCACAATTACTCTCAGTGCCTACAACATTGTATCGGTTCGATGTGCTGCAGAATACCTTCAAATGACAGAGGATGTTGAGAAGAGTAATTTAATTCACAAGATTGAAGTTTTCTTCAATTCTTGCTTGCTTCATGGATGGAGGGACTCTATTGTAACTTTACAAAGTACCAAATCCTTCCCCTTGTGGTCTGAGGATCTTGGGATAACGAGTCGCTGTATTGAAGCCATTGCTTCAAAAATTTCAGCCCATCCATCAAAGGTTAGTTTATCTCATAGTTATTCGAGAAGAGGTAGAGATGATGTATCCTGCAATGGATCAGAGAGCCAAAGGCATAGAAATACAAGTAAAGGCTGGTGGGCTGAAGATTTAGCAGAATTGGGGATAGATCTTTATTGGAGAACAATGATTGCCATCAAATCAGGTGGGAAGGTCCCCTTGAATCTCATCGGAGACGCGTTGCGAATTTATGCATCGCGTTGGCTACCAAACATATCGAAGTACTTACATATTGAGAAACAAGCAGAATGTTATCACGAGTTGGGCTCGACTGGGGAGGTGACTTCAAAACACCGGCTGTTGTTGGAGTCAATTGTTAGTTTATTGCCAGCAGAGAAAGGCTCGGCTTCATGTAGTTTTCTTTTGAAATTGTTGAAGGCAGCCAATATACTAAAAGCATCATCCTCTTCGAAGGTGGAATTGGCAAGAAGGGTTGCAGTTCAATTGGAAGAAGCCACAGTTGGAGATTTGTTAATTCCTTCATTATCGAACACAAATGGAATTATATATGATGTAGATCTTGTTATGACCATATTCGAGCAATTTATGTTACAAGGACAAAGTCCCCCAACAAGTCCTCCGAGATGCAAGGGGGATTTCGAAAGGAGAAGGTCTCGTTCAGCGGAAAATGTTCATCTGTTTCAAGAGAGTAGGAGGTCATCTTCTGCATCACATAGTTCCAAACTCAAGGTAGCAAAGCTTGTGGATGGATTTCTCCAAGAGATAGCGCAAGACAACAATTTGCCTTTGTCAAAGTTCATTGCCGTAGCAGAAGCAATTCCAGAGTTCGCAAGGCTCGACCATGATGACCTCTACAAAGCTATAGACATCTATCTAAAGGTAGAGTTACAGACAACACGTGAAAATATGCTTATTCCTTTCATGCACCATCATCTAATTTCTTAATCACAAATTAAAGAGAATTTTGAGGAGTATATGCCTCACTACACATATACTCCTCTGTTTCCCAATTTAGCTTGAAACAGTCTATATCCTGATGTCATATTGTTGTAGGTCCTAATGACTATTAATGCCTAAATATTTTACATAAAGTTTGTAGTATTTGATACTAACATTGTTTCTTGATACTGTTGAGTTTGTTGTCTAATTCATTTTAACAAGCATACTAAGGAGTTTAATAGAAATCTGTCTTGGACAATACTTATGTTCTTCTCTTTTCCTTTTTCAAGTCCTGGAATTTTAAAAAAAACAATTCCATAGAACAATCATTATTAGTAATGTTAGAAGTGATACGTAAATATCTGTATAATTGACTGCAGGGACATCCAGAACTCAATAAGAGCGAAAGGAAACGCCTGTGTCGAATATTAGACTGCAAAAAGTTATCCATGGAAGCCTGCATGCATGCTGCACAAAATGAGATGCTCCCACTAAGAGTGGTGGTGCAAGTTCTCTTCTTCGAGCAAGCACGTGCTGCAATGGCTGGCGGCCAAGTGATTGAGCTTCCGAGCAATATCTCAGAGCTTTTCTCTGCTCATAATAACCCGTCCAAGGTTAAAGCTTCTTTTAGCACCAATGGAGCAGTGGCACCAGAAGATAAATGGAGTATGGCCGAGCTTAAATCACCAAAGTCGAACCTTTCAACCCTTAAGATGAGGCTGGCTGAAGATGAGGACTTAGACGAAAACTTTTCCGAAGTGATGGAAAAATCTTCCAAGCCCAACAGATCTAAAAGTATGTTCAGTAAGCTGTGGTCCATCAATAGAAATGCAAGTGTGAAGAACTGATAGAAGTTTTTATTTGATTTCTGGTTGGGGTGGTCCAGATAAACTAAATTGCCACTTTTATTACTTTCTTTCATTATCGTAATTCGAGCAGAAATCTTTGTACTCTTTAGGAAAGACAAAATCACTGTGAATTATTGGTGTAACCTGTGATAATAAGGTAAGGAGATAGAAAATTTTGACAAGAGGGAAATTCTCTCTTTGTGCAAACTGGAATGAAGCACTTGTAAAACTATAATGTGGGAGAGCAAATGCCGGTGGTGTTTATACGTATCAATTACTTCCTTTCTCTAGAAATGAGTTTCAACCTCATGACTTTCAACATTGTAAGTGCATGTTCAGTACGCAATACTAGACAATACTCGGCAATATAACTAACAAGATTTTAACTTCTTTTTCTTCATTAGTATTGTCTAGTGTTATATAATCTCTGTAACTAAACATGCCTCGACCGAAATTTTTGTGTTTGAGCAAGAAATAATAGGGAGCTGAAGTGAAGGATCAAAAGCTACTGTTTTGCCTAAGATTGAAAAGAAAGAAGGAAATACCTTAATCGAAATTTTTGTCAATAAGGACATGTGTGATAGTTTTATTATACCGTGATAGTTCAGTTTGTTTATTTCTTTCTCGATGCTGCTCTGTGCTATCTAATCCGACATATATAACAAGAAATTCCGGCAGTTCTGTGAACATCAAGATCTGTCATCCCTTAAGACAACAATAATTTGATGTTAGTAATAATGCACCCTTAGGAACAGATTATCATTAATCTGAATTATTAACACTAAATTTCAAAGATTAGTGTGTCAGCATATCAGTTCTGCTTCCCATTATATTTTATATACAAACAAGATATGATCAGTTCTAGAATTGATTCAGATTTAAGTGAAAAAAATAAAAATAAATGATGTGCAGATAAATGTTTGCTCAATTATAATTATGGAATATTTAAACCAATAATTCTGCACCAGCATGCTCAACATGTGGACAATAATTTCTTCTCTGTTGCAATCGTTTTAATGGTAAATCTGGATTAATTATGATTAATTATAATTCAGTCTTGTTCAAGGTGAAAAAAAATTGAGCGCATTTACTTTAATCAATTACAAACAAACATATCAGTAATTGACAAGACATAAAGCATGCTTGCTTTTGTTACTGTGCATCTGTTTATCCCTTTGGAGAGATGAATCGACGTATTTATTCAATCGGCAGGGATTCATGGGACCCCGAACCCTGTACTTTAACGATTATTCAACAATTCCAAGGAATTAAGGGAAAGTAGAAAATTCGTTTCTTTTTTTATCTCCATATCTCTTATGGGTATTCGACTATTCGATATTCGTTTCTCATGATGATTAATCCTACTTTCGAGGTAGATTATTCACTAATGTTATTCTTGCAACAGAAATTAAGCAATGAAAGAAGGCTGCACAAAAAGGTCTCAAATTAATCACAATACACAGAATTACATCTGGCGAAGATATGAATAACAGACGATCTATATACCACACAAAAACTTTCATAAAGCCCATAAATCAACCACACAAACAGTAGAAAAACGACTTGATTGTTCATATTACTGAGCCTCCACTGCATTATTTTGCCTAGAAGTATCAGTACTCGGATTGGCTTTGGATCGAGTATCCTGGAAAGCTGTTGAGTCGATGCTCCTAGTCCGGTTGAGGGTCAGGGTCGGGGAACGATGAAGCCTGCAACGGAAGGAACCTGCATGAGTTGTTGGGGAGCATAAGCAATTGTTTCTTGAAATACTTCCTTGTCTAGCAAGCTTCCCCGCAGATGATGGAGATATAACTTCAGACACTGGGGGAATTTCAACCTTCATATCTTTATTACTCATTGTTTGTATTGATGTCGTTACTGTCCTGAAATCATTAAAGATTGTATAGTGCATGTAAGAAAATTGTGTGGCCAACATTTGAGGGAATGAAGAAAAAAGAATCAAACTTTTGTTGACAAATAATTCCAAAAATCGAACAACTTGAATGGCTGATTCTAGAGTTTACCTTTTGCAGTGTTCTTCAAATGGCTAGGGACGATACCAAGAATTTGCTTGGAGAATTTCCCTTGCTTTAATAAATAAAGATAAGGAGGGATAAAGGGATATGATATGGATTGACTCTAGGTAAAGATAAGAAAGGAGATGGGCAGCACTATGTTAATCAAATCAAGATTCTTACACGTGTCTTTCTTGAACATCTAGAAGTTTAGAACATAATTGGTACAATAAATAGGACTATTCTAACAACTTAACATTAGACACTTCTCTAATGCTATTTGTCAAACATATTGTTACGCCTCTTACAGTGAAGCTCTAGATCATCATCATGTGACAGTCAGCTAACAAGTCAATCATGCTCACACTCAATATCACCATCCTAATGTCAAAGTGAGGCCATATATGAGGTAGTAAAGATAATGTATCACTTCCATAGAGGTGCCACAAATAGGTCAGCCCTTCTTGGTCAGGCGAGGTATTAAGCATGCTATAGGGAGGCAATTAGCCTCCTTGATTAATAAAAAGCATCTCCCACTTTATCCCCTCTAAGAGATCTTTTGTAGAAAATCTTTCTAGAATTAATTAATGTAACATCTCTACATCTGACACCTAAAAGATCAAATGTCAGTCTACTTTTTAGGGGTCAGATCTAGAAGGACGTCTTGGTCATCAAGATGAGGTCACATATCTTTCAATTCAACGATCGGTATTTCACATGTTCTACTATAAAAGTTCACACGTAGTGCAATTTGAAAATAATGCAATTTTATACACTCAACTATAATATCGTTCTCTCTCGTTTTACATATTTATACACTACCCTCGGTGTCCAAACACCTAAGTGGCTCATGGCTCAAGCACGTTCCACACCCAATACGCTATTATTATTGACTAGCTTGATCGTCGAGTGCTAGTGATCGTCTCCTCCACCACTGAAGAAGGCCACATATAACTAACGATTTGTCTAAGTATGTAAAAGTATGGTTATGTGAACGTGAGTGAATCTGGAATTTATTAATCACATTACCGCTCCAAAAATCAAGTTCAACACATTGTCCCTCATTGAAAAACTACACTCATTTATTAAAAAATTCAAACGAGCAATTATGCTCATCTAAAACTCAAACAAATGGTCATATTCTAAGATTAATTATTTCAAACAAGTTATCATCTTGCAAGGCAAGTTAAAAGTTGCTTAAATAAGAAAATAATAATCAAATATAAGGATAAGAAGTTAAGCCACAGTTTGATAATAATTATTTGGGAAAAACAAAATTTTGAATAGTGATTTTTAAGGGAATATGTGGTTAAAAAGTTAGAAAACGTTTTTAGTTTACATGCAGAATATTTTATTGTGTGAATGTGTGGTTGAAAATGAGTATATAAAAAAGAGTTTGAAAATAATAGTTGTCAAACAAGAGTTAAATTTCGAAAATCACCTAAAACTGAAAAAAAAAATCTAAAATTTTAAATTATTGAAAAGAGATGAAAGTATTCATTTAAATTATGACATCAAACGTCCTTCTCTTGCAATCTCTTTCTTTATCTACTCCATTAACGTCCCACCAAAATTATTATCACTTTATCATAATGCTTCAACCACTCTTATAGTAAAAATATGAGAAAATCAATAGGAATCTTCAATCAAAAAAAATCTTTTTTTTTCTTTTTTGTTGTTTGAATCATTAGGTTTACAAGCTAATACAAGTCACTTTTGGAGGGGCCACATGTAGTATAATGGCAGACACTCTTATAGGGGTGTCAAATTTTCCATAAAAGCCCTATGGATCAAGGTCACATTCAACATGATATGAGGTTATGATAGGAGGATTAGAAATATCCTACCCGAATTATTTGATTCAGGTGACCCGATATTTTATATGGGTTTGGATCCATGTCGAAATCGGCAGATGATTTACAATTTATGTTAGAATTTGAGTGTGATTCAAATTCCTTGTTAAAATAATTGAAGAATTATAATTGAAGTACACATCTTGAAGAATTCAGTTTGAAATGCTATTGAAATCCTATGTCAAATTAATGTTTTATTTTGGAAGTACATTGGGAGTTGTATTTCAATTTTTGGGATATCCTATTTCATCAATAACTATACTAGGAGTGTTTGGACATCCCCTACATATTCCCCATAAATACTAATCTCTTCTATACAATTTTATGGTGTGAGAAAATAGATTACTAGAATTATAGGATCTATTATAATTTTCTCTCTTCTCCATTATTTTTAAGTCAATAAAATCTTTTAATTTCCCTACTATATTTTTGTCTTTATTATTCTTTTACTTGATCATATATTTAATTATTATTTTCATATAATCTCAACATCTCAATTTGGTGGTTTGTTTCACAACAATTAGTATCAGAACGTCAGGTTCAGCAGTTCCGCAAGAGCGCAAGGTTTGATTTGTTCGAGATTTTTTTATTCATGATGACTTCCATGAAGTATGACATTTCGCTTTTGGATCGGAGCACTAGATTTTCACTAGACGGGTTACGATGTGCACGTGCAATACTCTTACAACTGGATTTGGATGATGCGTTCCTGAAAATTGATAGGATGCCTGCAACTTTGACCGCGGATGAGAAATTACGGAAGGATAAGAAGTCAGTTTCTCACATTCATCTTCATCTATCAAATACTATTCTTTATGACGTTTTGAAGGAGAATTCAGTTGCTGCTTTATGGTTGAGGTTGAAACAATTGTGCATGACTAAAAGTCTGGCAAGCAAGTTGAACCTCAAGCAGCATTTATACTCTCATCGAATGGCAGATGGAGGATCATTGGAAGATCACCTGACTGTATTTAGGGAAATCATCGCTGATTTGGAAACTTTAGAAGTAAAGTATGATGAAGAAGATTTGGCTTTGATCCTATTGTGTTAGTTGTCTGCTTCGTTTTCTTCATTTAGAGACACGATCTTATATAGTCGTGATATTCTCACCATAGAGGAAGTGTATGATGCTTTGTATTCAAAAGAGAAGATGAAGTATCTAGTTTCTGAAGCTAGAGATGGAGAGGCCTGGTTGCTCATGGTGGTTCTGGAAGGGCAGATCGAAATCTAAGTTCAGTAATCAAATTCGTAACTACTGCAAGAAGAAGGGACACTTAAAGAAGGATTGCTACAAATTGTAGAATAAAGAAAGGATGGCTGCAAGTAGATATTCAGATACTTCAGGCGAAGCAAGTTTCACTGAGAACGTTGTAAGTGATGGAGTTCTCTTAGCTATTTCTAACATTGAGTCTAAATAGAAAGATGATTGGATTTTTGATTCAACATGTGTGTTTCATATGTGTCTTAATAAGGACTTATTTGCTACATGTGAAACTGTTTCCAAAGGTGTCGTGGTTATGGGAAACAACGCATCTTGTCTGGTTGCTGGAATTTGTACAGTCAGATTGAAGTTTTTGGATGGGACAATTAGAACACTTGGTGAGGTTCGACATGTTCCAGATTTGAAGAAAAATCTCATCTCATTGTCTATCCTTGATTCAAAAAGTTATGAGTTCTTTGGTAGAGGTGGAACTTTGAAAGTTTGTAAGAGTGCCCAAGTTGTATTGGAGGAACAGAAAATGTCTCAATTATATATCTTGCAGAGTCGTGCAGAATTTAGAAGAGTAATCAGCACAAGTTCAAGACCATGGTGGACATTTAGTTTGGTACAATACCTTGAAGAATTCATAAAATGTCGAATTTGAAGAATACAGTTCAGTGGAGTTCAGGAGATATGGATAATGCCGCTTTGTCACCATCACCTGCGGTGTCATTGTATTCAATTACTAGGGACGGACCCAATGAAAAATGGTATGTGGATGCTGATTTTGTTGAACATGCTTTAACTGGAGTAGAAGGTATGCAATCTAGCAATGAGCCTTCTTTAAAAGTATTTGGGTTTGATTCTGTTTTAGGGTGTGTTACAACCCATTTTGGTAAACTATAAAATGATTATGATTTTTTGGAATTTGGGGTAATTTTCAGAGTAGTGCTTGGATTCATTGGAAAAAATTGAGTATTTTGTATTTGGTTGGAAAAATTAATTTTTTGGTTATTGTTGAAAAAGTCGTTCATTCCTTGGTGGAAGTCGTGTCAAGATGGAGATTGTTAGAATTTGGGCGTGACTCGAATTTCTTGTTAAAGTAATTGAAAAATTCTAATTGAAGTACACATCAAGAAGAATTTAGTTTAGAATGCTATTGGAGTTCTATGTCAAGTTGAAGTTTTATATTGGAAGTCCATTGAGAGTTGTAATTTGTTTTGGACTCAATTTTTGGGTTATCCTACTTCATCAATAACTCTACTATGAGGGTTTGGATATCTCCTACATGTTTCCTATAAATAATAGGCTCTCCTAGACAATTTTATGGTGTGAAAAAATAAATTACTAAAATTATAGGATCTATTGTAATTTTCTCTCTTCTTCATTAGGCTCTATACAATTTTATAAGGTGCGAGAAAATAGATTACTAACATTATAGAAGTCATTGTAATTTTCTCTCTTCTTCATTATTCTTAAATCAATAAAATCTCTTAATTTCTCTGTCATATTCTTGTTTTTATTATTCTTTTACTTGATCATATACTTCATTATTATTTTCATATAATTTCAACATCTCAATCCGGTGATTTATTTCACAACAATTTGGTCCAAGATAAATTGCACAAAAAGAAAAAATTACCAACCATATATATTATAGGTCTAAATGTTCATTATTCTAGTAGTCTTTGTCGTTTGTTGCGCATATTTGAAGGAGTCCGATCACTATCCTCAAACTTGATACATGAAATATAACTTCAATAAGTATGTGCGTGAGTGAGTGCGAGCGCAAATATATATATTTATATAGTAATTTTTTTATAGAAGATTTTTTCAATTTAATATTGTAATATATAAAAAAAAAATTACTATTAATTGTGTTATTTGGTGGCTTTAAGTCAAACCTACATAAGCTAATATTAGACTTTTGTTTTCCTACAATGAATTAGAATTTGTAAATTCCAATTATAAAAAGATTATTTTGATTTTTACATGAATAAAAATTAAAAGTTGTTGTATAAAAGGAGCTTTTCCTTTGTAGTTAATCGAACCACCCAAGTCTTTGTATTCTTTATCTTTATATATAGCATGTTTGGAGAAGCTTAAAATTCAATTAAAATTGAAAATATAGCCGTTATTGGGTTTCACCCGTCTAATAAAAGTAAACAATAATGGCTAGTTTTTCAATTTTAATCTGATTTTAATCCCTACCGAACACGCCCATAGTTTTCTTAAATTTCAATCGTAAGAAACTTTTATACATCAAATTGTTAGAAGATGAAAGATTGGAGGACTTCACATTTCGAAGATCATGGAAAATTGAAATATAGATCATTATTAGGGAAATAATACAACAATAAATCATTATTTTCAAGAACATGGGATCATCAACTATTATTATGCTAGGCATGTATTATTATTACAATAATTGGTGAGAACATGGGATCATCAATTATTGTTTCTTAATAAATTGTACAAGGCTTTAAACACCAACAAATTTTTAACACTACAATTCCTTATATTCTCGTAATTAATTTAAGAATATGTTACTTGTACATAATGTAGTGTCCATGATGATGTCCACTCCTCACATGGAAAGGAATTCACTTCAGATATATTATATTTTATTCGAAGTGGGTCCCACTTTACGATGTTCTTTTGGTGGAGCTTTGTGTTCATCCTCCAGTGTAAAAATGTTTTACTTCAATTAATTGTTGTGTTTTAATGAAGACGAATTATGAATATAGATGTTGAAGAATGGTTGGGGATTTTCGAAATTATAGTTGTTTTAAATCTCTGCATAAACTTTCATTTCTCAAATAGGCTTTGTTACTTTTTATCCTTCTTGTACATTATTATTTATGTGTGCCCCGTAATAATATTTTCTTTAAACCAATAATCAGTTACTTCAATTAATAATACTAGTTAAAATAAAAATAAAAATATATTGGATCCAACGATTTACTATTCTAGATATATTTTTTATGCTTGATGCAAATTATTTTGTTGAGTTATTAAATATATTATGCTGTCTATAGTTTTTTATCTTAATATATGTTAAGCAAGCAAACAAGAAAAACAAAACCCCGATAAAGCTGATACCCGAGGGACCCTGCCCCGAACAGGACAATGATTACCCGCCCAATAGGGTAAACGAAACAGGGGTAGGGCTGGTTGTTGCCCCAAGCCGAAGGAATGGGGGTTGGTGCGGGGAACATGATCCTTGCCCCCATCCTTTTTAAAGTCCATTTCAAATTTAAGATTTTTATTATAAAAAAAAAAAAAAGAATCATCATCATTTCTAAAGTAAGAATTGTTCTTAACAAATTTGAAAAAAAAAATGATTTTCACCAATTAAAAAGACTAAAAAAAAGGAGAAAGTAAACTAGCCCCCGCCCGCCCTCGAACGCCGTCACAAACCCACCCCACCATGATCGGGTATGGAGGCGAGTTCGGGCTTCTCTAAAGAGGAGTCATCTCTTCTGCCACACGTTCCTATCAATATTGATTAGAGTATATTGAAAGAGAAATTTGTACGTGTGCCAACGGATACCAACAAAAGTGGAGTTCATGTTATATTATGTCTACTCATTTTCCCTATTAGCATTTATCCTTAAACAAGGTGACAAAAATATCCGACAGGACGGGAGATGAGAATGGGTTGTCCAGCCACATTCCGCCCGTCGCCATCCCTACTTTGATGATGGCTATGGGCTTTAAATTCAGCTAATGCTGACATATTCTTGGACAGGGGTATTGTAGTCGGCCCATTGTCTATTTAATTGGCCCATATACTCCATTGCACTTCTGGTGCAAATCCCACAAAAAGGTATTTGCCACCTAT